CATTTAATTGTTACGATCCGTAAACGCCAATTTTGATAAAACAGCAACAACGTGGAATTTCGTCGCGTAAGAGCAGGATGCTGGTCCGCATTTGGACGAGATAGATGAGAGAAATCAAGATTGATGCGCCGCACGCCCGGAATAAACGACGCAAATCGCCAGGCGCGACTCTCGGCGCTCAAACACGCCGTATTAATTTCCCGGGACAGCGGAACAGTTGGTCGGGCAACAGAATAACCGCTTGCTAAAGAAATACTTCATCGACAGCGTCCTTGACGTCGAATGAGTCGCGCGAGTAATTCCCTAAAGACTGCTATTATTACAATACGCGCTTTGTCTGCGGAAGCGATATAACGACGAGGAAATATTGGGGAAAATTAACGCGGCGCTCGGAGAGATTTCCATGCTTTTTTATATAAGGTTGCTCGCCCTCTGTTTTTCTCGTTGCTTCCCATTATCCGGCCATCGTGTTCGCAACATCGGAAACTCTCTCTCTCTCTCTCTCTATCTCTTTTCTTTTTTCTCCCCCTATTTCGCAGCGGACGACCATAATAGAGACGGAGGAACGAGCCACTGTTTCAAGCGCGCCCCGTGTACAGGAATTGTTTTCGGTAAAAAGCTCGACCGAGAGGCCGGATCCTTCGATTCTTCCACGACACACGCACAGCGCGGCGCTCATTGTTCACCATTATGCTCTCCGAGAGGATGGCAGGCATCTCGTCGCAGATTCATAATGCATTTCACGCAAATTGACTTCAATTTCACAGTCCTCAAAGCGTCGCCGGCGAGAGGTGCCGATAGAGTTCCCGGCGGAATTCAAGGCGGACTCTGTGGGAATTTAACTCGAGAAGGGGAGAAGGAGAGTGAGCGAGTGAGTGAGTGAATGTGTGTGTGTGAGATCGCCGATTGTGACACAACCGACCAGAGAGTAGTTTTCGATCGTAATTTTCGAATTTTCTAATTTAAATTCGCAAAAAGCGAGAGAGAAAGAGAGAGGGGGNGGGGGAACTGTAACCACCAACACCGACATTGGCATCGTGAAAGTTAAAGGGATTAATTCGTGGCTGAGATAAACCGTAGGGCTGACTACGAGGTGACCAAGGCGCAGCGATTAGCATTTTCGTCCTCACGCGCGGTATTAACACGATGCCGATGTAATATACATATTTAATGGTATGTATGACTACGAACGCGTGTATGTATAAGCCGCGAGAGGGACGTTGGTGATGAAATCAGATGCAAATTACAGCGCGCGATCGCAATCACATTGAAAGCTCACTGACAAATGTCAAATGCCTCACGAAATGTCGGAATCGCACAAAGTCCGATATCGAAAATCTCATCAATGCACGTTAAATATTTCGTAAATATTTCGGAATTGCACACAGACAACGTGTGGAATATTCTGCACGAACGGTTGTCACGTTACGATGTCAATTCCCCCAGCTCTCTATTAAAAAAGAATACTCAGACGGTCCGGTTAAAATTTCACAATTTCAACCAGTTAGGATTGCAATGTAACACGTGTGTTTTGTACCGCATATAGAAATCCGAAATAATACATCATCTCTCTTCGCAAACTTCCTACATCACCGTTCACGAGTTCACTCGATTTTACCCGGTCCAGATTTTATGTTACGGCCAGGAAAACATCTCGATCACCGAGCTGTCGAAAATATCTCGACGTGACAAGAAGGGGTTGCGTCGCATGTCCTTCTTACGAACTCCCCCGGTTTACTGACACACGTTTCAGCCGGCCGTAAATCAAACGCCGTTCTGCCGAAGAACAAACGCAAATAAAGATTGGCAACGAGCACTTCGGAGTGAAGTTATGGCCGGCCGAGTTGAATCCGCATTCGATCCCGATTCGAATTTATATCACCCGTTTCGGAGCTCTTTCTTCTGCTTCTTCTTCTCCCGCCCCTCTTCATCACCCCCCTAGTCCTGGAGCTGTGCGGAAATTCAACAAACGAGTTTTCGAGGCACTGAGAATGCAGGATCGACGGGAGTGTGTTTTACTTATTCGAATTGAACACCAGGAAATCCCTTTCCGCGGAAGCGTCCATCAGTTTTCCGCCGTGCTTTAGCCGGCGATGATGGATCCCTCCAATATCGGCTTCGGAAGCTTCCGCGTATTTTCGCTCGATAATCATCCACCGCCTTTATCCACTAGCTTTTTCGTAATTTATTTGTGCATTGAATTTGCTGCGATATATCGACAGGTGAAAGCAAGAGAGAGAGAGAGAGAGAGAAGGACGAGCAAAAGGTTGGTGGATGCAATCTTCAAATTTCCAACGCGAAATCTAAGCTTTCTTAAAACTTTCCCTGTATTCGAGAGTTTACTCGGATTTTATTTGAACAAAAGAAAAAGCCTTCTCGATTATATATTTATAGTCACGAGCTTTTAACACAAATTTAATTATTTTTACGCGAGAGCATATCCTTTTGCAAACCTACGTTTCAAAGTTAAAGTGACTGACATCTCTCGTTCTTAATTCAGTTCTTAATATCCAACTGGAATAATATAGAGGAATAATTCATCCTGATGGTATAAGTACGCGTTCACAAAATCGCTTCGAGCGCATTACCGACGAGATACACTCCCTCGAAGGGATCTGCGTGACCTCGTATGCAAATCTGCGCGCGGCTAAATTCGAGAATGCGGAATTATATATCCTTCATTAAATATATCCTCACCTGCGGAGTTTTCTCCGTTCGTTTTTAATGTCATTCGGTTTTTTGCCAGAGCTTGCTAGCCGACTGAAAAAGAAGATTCCATGCCGTGAGCTTTCCGTATCACGTCGAGCTGAGAAATAAATCTTTGTAATCTAACGGATGTCTTTGATCCCATGAAAGCGTTTCCGTCACCGACAAGCAAGCAAGGCCGATCGATGCGAAAGAGAAGACTGCGCGGGAGAGGGGGACGGGAGAGGTCGCTATTTTGCACCCCGAAACGGCGCACACATACACACACATATGATGTCCTATTGAGCCGGGAATGATTACTCGTTTCGGCTGTCATTTAATTAACGGACGCAACACGGCCTCGCGCTTTTAACGAAGACTGCGCGCACGCCGTTGATTAATTTCAATCCCGCGCTCGCGTGTGGTAGCCCTTTGAAAACGAGTTAATAACTTTAACAGGCTCGCGCGGGTCCAGCCATAACAAACTCGATATATCTGTCGATTTATATCACGGTCATCGATAATTTCTGTCCATCCAGGTCAGACGGTAGGAGAGGAGGGGTGAAGAGGAGGCAGAAGAGGTAGAGAGAATCAGAGTAAGAGAGAGAGAGAGAGAGGGAGGGAGAAAGAGGAGGAGGGAATGTGTGTTAATGTTGATTAGGTTTTCCGCCAATATGTCGGTTATCTTATCGGCGGCAACACCCTTAGCGCTCGGCAAACGCTTTATCAATTCCGTCGCAGCGAGAGATCAGCGGAAAGTAAACGCGCCCGAGAGTGCGAGTAGCGGAAAAATCTCAGTGTGCGAAAACAATTGTTATTTTAATAACTGTTATTTAAAAAAAAAATGTATGCTACAATTGCATTTGTAAGACGTAGCTTGCTGTTAATCTCGGCGCGTATCGTCGAAATAGTACGACATTTCGAGTGTTTATATAATAAAAGTTTGAAATATAGGAATCTTCTTGTAATTATTATCGGCTCTGTTTAACGCGCCTACTTTCACGAATTCCGTAACAGAGCCCTCCATCAACCGATGAGAGAGCTCTCTCGTGTTTGAGCTTTCCATTAAATAAATATTACTTAATTATGAGAACATATCGAGGGCGAGGTGTCGCAAAATTGTTCCACCTCCACCCATGTTACGTCTCGGCACTCCCAGCTATCGGGAGATATTACCCGTCCGTCGACCTACGAACGACAATTCAGGTAGGGCGATAATCCGCGACATGTCCGATAGTACGCTGACTCTCACCACTCGCTCTGTGCCGTACGACTGAATACGTGTCTCGTCGAGATAGGGTTCGCATTAAGGCGGTTGTTAACTGCCACGTTTAACTAGCGAAACTAGAGTTCGCCTGTGTCGTCACAACACACACACACACACACGCTGCATTAGCTTTTGTCACACGCACAGGCTTACGGAGAATTCGTGTAAGAGGATAAACGTCGTCGGAAAATACGCAGCTGTCGCGATTTTTAAATCACTGCGTCGACCTTACAATGTACGTCTCGTCTCTTATTAATCTCGCTCGAATGTATCTTCGTGCAAAACTCGTTACGCTAAAACGGCGAATTCGTTCGTGATTTTTACCATCGGCTGTTTACTCAGCTCCGGTAAGAAAATCGCGTGGACGTTCTTCGCTAAGCGAGTAGTGAAACCAACGGATGACGTGTCAGCCATCGGCAGAGTATTTCACACAACTGCCAAACAATTTTTCCTCATTTTCGTCGACATCCTAAATTCGAAAAATCAAAAAGAAAACAAGATACGACGACGTGTTTATTGATAGCGTGCAGTGACGACTGTGAACAAAAGTGTTAAAGCGATTGTTAAAGCACTCGCGTGTTTTCAACTCCCGAAAATATTTCCGTCCGTCGCGCGCGCGCAAGCCCCGCAAATTCCAAAAAATGCCCGACGACAAGCACACACGACAACGAACGGCCGAGCGAGAGCCGAAAAGTGCAGATGACAGGCGAGCACAAGTCGATCGCAATCGTCGCGTAGGAATCGTCGATTTCCCTCCGCTCGAAATTCCAATCCGATTTACCACCCGTACGACCAACGTGGCGTTGAAACGGTCCGTAAAAGCGAACGATTGAAACAATCACCGCCAAATTAGCCGAGGCTCGCGTTAAACGCGTGTGATTAACGCGCGAGTAACACGAAGGCGCGCTGCCGCGCGCGCCTCTCGAATTCCGAACAGTGTCCTCGTCACCGGATCCAGCCGGAGACCGGAAGCGACCGCGATTCACCGGTGTCACTGGTGACCCAGTTCCCGCGCGTCAGGACCGAACTCAGACTCCGATTTACTCACCGTCACGTTGACGCTTGGCCGAGTGGAGTACGGTGGTTTCGGTCGAGGCAAAGCCCGCCGTCCGGAGCAAATCGAATCACGACGTAACGTCTTGCGAACGTTACGATATACGTACGAATCCGCGCGCGCGATCTACGAACGTTTCCGGCGTGCTCGCGAATCGCGACAGAGAGCCACAGGCGATCGAGCGCGCGCTCGTTCGAGAGTCGAAGTGGGATAGCCACTTGTAGCGCCGGCGGATGACCGGGCGCGTAAACCAGACTGGCGGGTTGGCAAACAGGTGAGATGCCGTCGCGTGCCTCTCTCTCTCTCTCTCCCTGTTTCTCGTTCTCTCTTCCTCTTTCCCTCTCTCTCTTTCTCTCTCTCTCTCCCCCCAGCGGTTGTTCGCGTCCCTCTCCTTCCACTTTCACCAGTTACACCCTCTCTTTCACCCCTGCGCGCTTCACTCCTTACCAGGTGGCTCCCCCTCCTCGTCCATCATCCGTCTCGCTCTCTTTCGGGATCCGAGTTGTGTCCGTCTCGTTTCGATTCCCGACACGCGTCTTACTTCTTTTCAGTCTCCTCCGTAGAGAGAGACTTTTCCGTCTACCATTCCGGTTCGCTCCCTCTTTCTCCGTCGCGTCAGAACACCGCCTCGTTGTCTCTCTCGCTTTCTCTCTCTTCCTCTTTCTCTGTTTACCGTCTCGTCGCACATCCTCTACTTTCTCGGTCGTCTCTCTTTTTCTCGAAACAACCCCGCTGGCGCGGGGTTCCTCCTCGTTCCTCCTCCTCCTCCTCTCTCTATCTATCTCTTGCTTCATGCTTCCCCCAGCCGTCTCTATCCCACCAGAAGCACCGACGCGTCACGTGTCTCTGTCTCCCTCCCTGACACCCTCTCGCTCCCATCTTCGCGTTCACCCTCCCGTATTTTTCCAGCACGGCATCTCCTTCCACTCTCCCACATCCCTCCCGCTCTCCTCCTCTCTTCCTTCGGTGTCCCTCTGACCGTTCCACCCTCTTCAATGACTCCCACCCGGCTCTGTTCCTCGATGCCACCCTACCTAGGAGGTTCGTGGCGCGCTCCCTACCCCCACAGGGGCACAACCGGAGGTACTTGCGTGCGCAGCACGTCCATCGATCTATTTCAGCTCACCTACGCTCCTGCCAGGGCCTATACCGTACCTGCTGACGCTTCCCTGCCTGCGCGCGTACGGGTGCGTTCACACCGTCGCGAGGACGGAAGCTGCGAGAGGGGTGCGCTGGGACGGCAGGCGGGGTTTCCGAACGAAATTTCCACGAGGCCAAGAGACCCGAATTCGATTCCGAGCTACTAAGATCGAGAGAATTCCAGGCGACACCCAGTGCGCTACTCTATCGATTCGCGGACCGTGCGGATGCTCACCGAGGCCGAGTAATCAGATTAATCACTGGCTATCCGATCGTTTACTCCGCGCATTATCTGCGCTCACTAGCTCGACGTTAAGTAATTAACTCGCCGTTGAGCAACTCGGACCGCGTAGCGAGCGTACTCTCGGGCTGCTCTCGCTCGGGCAAAACGAGTACTTTTTGAATTAAGTAATCGCCATGAGCTTAACGGGTCGGTCCATCGAGTACCCTTCGATGCTACCGTCCTCTGAGAGACCACGTGAAAGCCGCTCTCTCTCTCTCTCTCTCTCGCTCGACTTGTTAATATTGCATAATCTCTTTTTCGTACATTAATGGCCTTTGTGTACGGTAATATCAGATCTTCATTATCCATTCTGGTGAAAGGATGTCCCGCGCGGAGCTAAATTTTCGCCCATCGCCGGCGTATCCCACAGCGCATTCTGCGGTGAATTTGGGGCAGCGATTTTTCCAGCGAGACAGATCGAAGGGAGAACCCCACCCCGATGGAATTAATGTCCCGCGCGGAGCCGAACTTCTTCGTCCGTTGAAACACTTGGCCGTATTACTTCTCCCGTGAAGTGCAAACGGTATCAGGAGAACGACTGGACAATCGCCCGGAAAAATCGTTACGCTCTCACGCGAATTTATCTGTCGTTTCGTATAGAAGTTTTACTCGGTTTCTCGCCGGTGGTTCGAGAGCGAAATGACGCGCGTCACGTTATCCGCGATATCGCGATAGACACGCACACATATTCCGGCAGCGCGGAAAAATGATCATCAACCGCATAACGTCCGACAACGCAGTTGCCTAATAATAGGCAGCCGAGGGATATTTGCGTTGCGCCGGTCCTTTTCACTCGGCGGCATCGGCGTTATCGTGATATTCGCGCGGGCCCGGCAGGATCCGCGCAGAGTACAGACGGCACGGTAATCGCGTTAGCACCACACGTGGAATGTGATTTCGGTTTAATACCGAAGCCATCTATCGCGAGGGACTCACTGACGCGACCTACGCGCTATTCGTGCTATTGTAATTTCTATGGGAATGATTGCGCGCCAACGCTAATGTCGCCGGTGTATTTTGAACAGTTATTCGCGGCGGTCACGAAAAAGTCGAAGTGTTCGGCTTTATCTCACGCGCGCTCGCGCATATTTTTTTCCCCGTGATTAACGTCCGGCCTCAGATACGTCTTATCCAGTTTATCCGGCAGGGGTGGCGAGATAACACGCGCGGAAATAAACACACGTGTCGCGAATAACGCGAACTGCAATAAAACCATGAGGACACGAGCGCCTGCTGCGCGATTGAATTTAAAATTCGCTGCGTAGGTCGTAAAAATGAAATAAAGGAGAGAAAAAAATCTGTAGAGAACCATGCAAAAATATGACATCTCCTTTCGCGCCTTCGTAACCATGGAAACGTAGCATTTCGCGCGAAATATATTCCTGCTTATCTGCGTCATCGGGAATCGAGTACCGACCAAAAATTGATATGTTTCGTAACTTGGTCGCCGTAGATTTATCACAGATTCATTTGTCGTGGATTTATGGAATCATAGATCCACGGATAAACCGCGAATTTGCGAACGTACAAATGGATTGACCGAACGTACGCCACCAGAATTTTTCGACGAGTGGCTCGCATTTGAGAAGCTACACACACACACACACATACACACGAAATAGACGCGCGAAATCGACGGACGGGACTGTACATTTTTTTATTTTGTCGAGATTTGGTCTGACCCGCGAGATATTTCGTTGATTTCGCCGTCGCTTTCGCGGCACGGTATTAAACGCTTGGATGATTCGGTCGGATATAAAAACATAGGAGGAGATCCCGATCGTTGAAACTGTTTTCGCAAAATAATAAAAAACACGACGCGATCTCGAGGCAGCCGAGCATTGAACATGATCCGGCTTGAAAATTATCCTTGATTCGTATACGATCGATGCACGCACAAGCTGTGGCCTATTTGATAAACTTGATGACCAATAAGCGCCCTATATAATTGAAACGTCACTTTTTTGCATGCGAAAAAAATTCGTCGTTCGTTGAAAACGAGTTCGCTAACGGTTGGCTATGTGATAAGCTGATAAGATAAAGTCTACGCGTGTCACCGTATATTTAGTCTATTGATTAATGTTGGTCACGTTGAAGCGAAAATTGAATATGTAGATTAAAGTATATCCTAAGTTAACCCAAATTTAAATTCGATCTCGTAACGGACAACTATATATATAAGAATATACTGATCAGTCGCGAGTTACGTGTAAAAAATTGCGATTTGAAGACAAGATTAAAAGTGATAAAAGAAAATGTTCTGTTTTCTTGGACAATTATGTATGTGTGTGTGTAAAAAGAAAATGTTCTGTTTTCTTGGACAATTATGTATGTGTGTGTGTTTTGTTTCTCTCACAAATGAACATTCACGTTTCGGGTGAATTCTAAATTTTGAAGCGGAACAATAAATATCATATATTGAATACAACGGTGATTCCGATTGAAATATTATTATAATCGGTTACATATGAAAATTTTGGAAAATTGATGACCGCGAAAATCCAAAAATTGATCGCGAAAGAAATACATGTCTGCGAATCCCGCGGTTGATAGCACAATTTTAATACACATTTTATACTGTCCGAATCAATTAGAAGAGGTCACATTAAATAAATTAATTAATAAGTTCTATCGAACGACTTAATATGATGAATCAAATATAACAAGAACCAAAACGTTTATAGAAGCAAACTTATTAAAAATCACGAGAGATATGGAAAATATGAAAATGGAATATTGACAGTAGAGAGAGAGATATCTTTCAGAGATCTCTTTAAGAGATAACTTTAAAAGAGAAGAGTATTCTCAATAGATTTATAAGTCTATTAAATAATATAGCTATTTTTTTTAAATAATGACCTGATTATTTCAAGCAGTATATTTTGATGGACGGCACACATACACATGTACAAAATCCAATGTGCGAAAGTCTACAAACTATTTACATTGAGAGAAAAATGGTCAATCTCGATAAAACTGTAGTTATTTTCTGCGCCAATTATATTTTTTCTTGTTTTAACAAACTAGGATAATATTCACTATGGTAATGTTTACAACAAAAAAAGGTTTTCTTGAATACAATTACATCATTACACAGTTATACTCACAAACATCAAATACTTTTCTCTCAGTGTAGGTAAATCGCATTGATTTTATTGAGATTTTGCAAACCCACCATTTTTTATTTACTATAATCATTCTTCTTACTCACCGAAATACCGGGAACTCAGGGTCGGCCACGTTCTGCTATAGATCTAAAACCAAAAATATAATTTCGCCAATCAGATACAAAGTGTCAACGACTTTACGAGAAAAATGCGCATAGAGAAAAATACAACATATTATATTAACATTTTGTGACTCAATGAATTTTATCTTGACAAATATATTTCCCATTTTTTGATCGTAAAGAGTTTGATGCGAAAGCATAGAAGTCATTAAACTTACCTTCGAGCCGACCTCGCTCGGCCCGAACCAGCTCCTCCGGTACGGCATCCGCATCCGCTGAAACCGCACCCCGGAAACCGCACCCTTCATGTGGCCGCAAGTTCTGACAGATCTGAAATAAAAATGAAATGTCCTGATTAGTTACATCAATTAAATGTAATATATCATTTATTTCGGAAATATATAGCTATATATTATAAAAAAGAATAGATACGGAAAAGATATTTCACATTCAGGAAACGTAATTATGAAAATCAGCTCTTATTAATTTGTCACATTTTTTACCTTCTTTGTAAAGAAGGTAAATGTTTTACGGATAGTCTGAAGACGTAAGAAAAATCGATATTCGCGTGATTTTTCGTTTTCA